ACTCATTGATAATATAATGAAATGAAAAACAACAGTCGTTCTTGAATGCACAGAAGTATATCTATCTGAATTAATTGGACTTTCAATAAGATTGAAAACTTCATCTATTCCTTGAAATTTCAGATAAAGAACACATGTTTTCAAAATGAGAAGTTCATGTGAACATTATGCGAGGTGAGGGAGCTTATTCGTTGCCGATACTTACAACAGGGAGTCGAAGTTTGAGATTTTTTAAAGTTTTTTGTGTAGATAGTTATTTCCTCCTACAATTACCAAGATAGTGAATTGAAATTTGGTATAAGTACGTATCATACTTGATGAAGAACTCTACCTACAGGGTGACACATAATATGTGGATAGGTTGTACCCAATAATACGAAAATCAAATTAAATTTGTCCGCGTGCTGCCTCTGCTCTCAATGAAACATTAATAATTGAGATTCTCAGTTTTATGTATACCTTTTGCTCTTTTATATGGTTTTCGGAAACTATATATGTATTTAGAAATTGATGCCAAAGATATAATTCATAGCAGGGTGGCATTGAAATAAGTGCAAATATTTAAAACACTGAGATAGCTCGACGTGTACTACTATCGAATGACACTAAAAAAAACAAAGGGGATCAAAATGAAATTTGAGGTTAGTCCCCTTTTCCACCCAAAAAGTTCTACACTGTAGCAAATCTGACGTCACCTCTGTTCAAATTTCCATGTGGAGTTTCATTAAAATTGTTTCAAAGTGGCGTATTCTTGATTGTTTTCTTGTATTTTGTTCAATTTTTGGGATGAATGAGTCGTTAATTGGAAGAATTAGAAAAAATCTGATATCATGATGAATATTCCTTAGACTGTACCCTAACAACACGAGTACGTCCCAGGGACGTCCTTCATTTTCTACGAGGACGTCCCTGGGATATCCTGTGTCGGGACATGGTATATACTAGGGACGTCCTAGGGACATCCACTTTCCACAAAAAGAGGCATCCCAGGGATGTCCTTCTGGTACGTCCCTGGGATGTATCATGTACGAAGAAAGGATATCCCTAGGACGACCCAAGGATATCCCAGGGACATCCCTTCGACAGAAGAAAAAAAAATGTAGGTCGAGTACGGATTGAACCCGGGACCTTTGGCTTATCAGGCACGCATCTTACTCCATTGGCTATTGAGCCTCCTGAAGATTTATGTACTAAACAGATTTATAAACAGGACTCAACTACAGAAACCTGAATAACCCTAATAACACACTAATGTCCCATGAATATCCTTAGGACGTCCTGTCGGGACGCACAAATGTCCCACTTGAGGACCGACTAGGGACGTCCTTGAGGGATGGCCCTGGGACAACTATCGAATACCTAAATCCTACAGTATTCCTCATCAAGTACTACAGAGGACATCCTTAGGACATCCATAGGACAACCTATCAGCAACGCTGAGGGATATCAATTGGATGTCCATAGGATGTCCCAGGGATGTACGAATTATTCTTGAATTTGAATTTTTTTGGGTCCCTCTAGGACCAGATCTTGCATAATTGATTAGGACATCCAGTTGAGTTGATGGTCCTCAGAAGGTCCCCAAAACGTTTCCCAAGGATGTCCAATGGACTTACGTGAAGGACATTGACGAGGAGTACTTATAGCCTACGAACAATCATTCGTCGGCGAGGTGTAAGTTAACGTCCTTGCAGGGACAACATATTGAAAGTGCCGACTGGGACGTCCATAGAGGACGTTATTTCTAGGACATTGAAAGAGTACAGTTCATGTACCAATTGGGGCATCCGACGGATATCCCCAAGGGACATTCGAACGATGTCCCTAAGGGACATTTCGATTGTTATACGATCCTGGAAATATTAAGGGCGTCTGTGCAGAGATATTTGAAGGAATGTACCATCAGGGACATTTCATGGTTGTCTAGAAGGTACATTATATAAGATCTGAAGTCATGCCAGAATATGTACTACTCGGGACATCCGATGGATGTCCCTAAAGAAACGTTTGAAATCATATCCCATCAGGGACATGCCAAGGACGTCCTTGCATGGACATTCTACAATATGTACCACGTGAAACATCTAAGGGATGCTATTTCTAGGATATTTGAAATGATGTACCAGCTGGGACATTCCGTGGACGTCCTTGCTCGGACATTACATGAGATTTACGGGATATGGGACGTCCCAAGGACACTTATTTCTGGTTCGGGACATTCGGACGTGAATTGTACCAAATAGGGATGTCCCTAGGACGTTTTGTGTGCTATCAGGAAATACAACTTTGTTAGGATTTAGGTATAATTATTATATCATCCTTGGGTGTTTGAAAATGAGGGGCATTATGCATGTACGATTTCTGTTTGCGAAAAATGGTAATTTCTTAAGAAGTTCTGAAAATTTATTCTTTATTTTCATTACGATTATTTTCCGAAAGAAAAATAAACATTTTCAAAAAAATGCAACTTTATACTTTGATGAAATTGAATGACTCTAATGTGAATGAATATCAGATATTCCAGGCACACGAATAGGATAACCTAGGGATGTACCGGGCGGGATGTCTACCGGACAACCACTGCGCGACATCCCCTGGATGCCCCAATCATGTCCTTGTACCGCGGGACAAAAAAAGGGGCGTACATAGGACATCCCTGTGTTTTTTTTTTTTTTTTTTTTTTTTTTTTTTTTATCGCTTGGAGCGCACGAAAGGGAATCCCTATTGTTAGGGTATCATATTAATGTGCTGAATATGTGCATTTATTTCAGAAACACCTTGTATATACTTGTGATGACACTTTATTTTTTGAACACACTCTATTCCACATTAATTAATAATAGTCTAGAAGACCTCTGGAATAATCGGAAGCTCTCGATGTGTGGACTCAAAGGAAAAATTCGAAAAACACAAAAATATATAAATAAAATATCACACCACCTGTATACATCGGAACAGGGGCACCTACGGATATATGTTTACATGAGATTTTCATCTTGAAATAGTATTTTCTTCAAGCTGTTGGAGTCCTGCTACGAAAAAACTGACTTACTCTGTATATATGCCGTATTTTTTGAGAAGTAGGTACCTGAATGATACGAAGTTCATTAAATTAGACAAAAATTAAAAAAAAATGGATCCAAATCGAAAATATCACGAACGGTTCTAATAATATACCGGGTGGCTACGGAAGTATTGCCTACGGAATATCTCAGTTATTGTATGAAGTAGGTTTGTGAGCTAGGATTTGAGCATGAAAATGACTTTTTATTATATCATTAGAAAGGAATCGTTATGCTGAATAGTACAGGCAAGAAAAAGTTGTATGTTCCTATTCAAGTTATGGACCTACAGAGTATTGTTTTTTTCCCAATTTTTCCAATATTTTTTTTGGCGGCTTTTTATAACGCCGACGAATGAAAATAAAATATCACAGTAGTAGCAACTGTTATCAACTGACGTATGGTTTCCATAGCCAACTTTTCAATTTTTGGCTTTCATTTTGCTTCCACGGCCTACTCGGTGAATTTCAATAATAATTTTTTTCTGATTTAGTTTCGGGTTAGATATTAACTTGTGATATGTCATTAGAAAGGAAATTGAATGCTGAATAAAGCGAAAAGAAAAAAAAATAGGGTTTCCATTCAAAATAAGAAAATTGATGTTACTTCCGGTCAGACCGGAAGTTAACTTCGACATGTCTATATGCTCAAATTTTAGCTCTTATGTCATTATATCGACGCTTCAAATTTCACAAACCTTCTTCATACAATAACTGAGATATTCCGTAGGCAATACTTCCGTAGCCACCCGGTATACAGGGAAAGCCGATATCGCCTGGTTCCATTTCTTTGCACTGGCCCTTCTATTTTTGGGAATACATATACGGAGAGATGTGTTCTTTGTATTTGCTTCGATTTACTCTGCTTATATTTTCAATACGATTTTTCGTTCCAAATTTATAATAGTGATACGACATGAAAAAATACCGTTAGGGTCAGGGCACGTTAGTTTTTGACTTCTCTTCATAACATATATAGCGAAAAAGGGTCGAATTTTACTAGAAAAGGCTCATTTTATTCGCTGTACACATTGTGACATTTTGTTTACCTATATATTCCGAATTCAACTGACAGAAGCGCGCGATCACAATATACAGGGTGTAACTGAATAAGTGTAAAACATTTGAGGGGCTGATTCCTCATCGAAAAAAAGATGGGATCTTTCATATAAAGCAACTTCATTGGAGCATCCCATGTTAAGATACAGCCCCTTGAAGGGGGTACATAAAATTTGTTCAAAAATTTTTTTCACAAGCACTAAAAAAGTTAGTTTTGAAATTAACCTGACATTTTCTACTACGAAAAAGACACTTAGCCAGTAATTTATTTGGTTCACCCCATGGTTGTTAGGGGTGGAAAACGCAACACCTAAATTTTGTTTCCAATGTAACTTTTTGTCTTATTAATTGTTTACCATTTGAAAATTTATTTCCGATAGCCTGTTTCATTCTAAACGAAAAATATCCCTTGAATTTTTTGCCCAAAATAAACCAGTTGGCAGCAAAAAAATATGTTGAGATCAACTACAGAGATACATCGTCATAAATGCGAACTGGATTTATTGTCATTTTGTAGTTACTACCTGCGTTAAATAATTAAAGGGATTAAACCATGGGGTAAACCAAATAAATTACTGACTAAATGTCTTTTTGGTAGCAGAAAATGTCAGGTCAATTTGAATTCTGTAACTTTTTTAGTGCTTGTGAAAAAAATCGTTAAACAATTTTTATGTACCCCCTTCAAGGGGCTGTATCTTGACATGGGATGCTCCAACTAAGTTTCTTTATATGGAAGATTTTATCTTTTTTTCGATGAGGAATCACCCCCTTAAATGTTTTACACTTATTTAGTTACACCCTGTATAGTCTCCTTTTTGTAGTTCCAGCGACTTTGTTGACATTCTGCTGTTACCATCTGCTACCTTTACCGGCAATTACTTTGGCATTCAGCCAAGGCAGTCAATCTACTTAGCTGCCATGTGAAACATATGATTTTTTCTTGAACTGTTATAAAACCAATTTTGTGTGATTTTTTTATAGAAAACTCCATTATTTTGTGTTCACCCTATGTCAGTGTCAAATACTTGGAACTTTTACTGCCTAGGCAGAGAAAGTACACCGTTGCTGCCTGTTTAGTGTCATAGAATTCTCAAAATTTTGAGATTCTCGGAAATAATTTTCTATTCAAAACATTGACAGTTGAATTCGGAATATATAGCCAAGGTATCCATCAGTATCGAGTCGACCGCAATGAACTCGATGTCGGCCGTTACAAATCGACAGTTGTCTGTTGTTTCTTGTTCCATGACCTGCTGCGATTCGACCACCTGCTGCTATGCGAGCTGCCCAGGGCGTCGCCATTGTTGTTGGCGTTTGGCGCGGCTGAATGGGTGCTACGAAACCGATGGTCCAGTTCTCTGGGACTCGTTATCCGCATCCGGATCGTTCCATTTCCACCTGGAAATATTACAAATACAATCTTACTAAACTGGGCGTCAATTGAAACGTTAATAGTGAAATTTGGCATCAAGTTTGGCTTCTCGTAATTTCTAAAATATTGAACGAATTTTGAATTGCCGCCCAGATTCTGAATGCCTTTTTCATCGTCTTCCGAACCGTTCCTTACAACTTCTTCTAAATTAATCAGGATTCATGATACAGGTTGAAACAAAGTTACGTGCATTTTGAAAAAAATTTCTCCGCCCCCCCATTATGTCGGGAGACCACGATGCTCATATTTTATTCAGGAATTTCATAAACAGCAACCATACCTCGGGACATTCTCGAGTTTTTGCCAAAAACTACTGTGGTTTCCGAGAAAAAAAAATTTTAGCATTTTTTTTAAATGGACTAATTAATTACCTGTATCCTCAAAATGATGAATCAGTCTCTTTATTGTCATGACTGACTCACTGAAAATGGTACTTAAATGAGTTTGGGTATATCCTAATCGTCGTAACCTGACATAATAATTATCTGTACTGAATTATAGTTTATATCACTATATATAGTGATCTTACCTAATGATATTTTCCATTTCGACCCGATTTGAACGAGAGGCATCTTTAAATTTTTTAGAACCCGAATTACACTGACGGTTTCATGAAAATTGGCAATTGATATAACCTCTATGCATACCTAGATTGTTTCAACAATACGTTTTTATAGAAACAAGGTATCGTTTTTTGTATTTGTTGATGAGATGTGTTGATTTACTGCTCACTAAGGTAGAAAACTTTTATCATAGACTGCGAAGTAATAAATTATTGATTGTTTTTGAGTAACCTGGTATACATATCTGTTCCAACGATTTCCTGAAATGGATAAAAGCATCCATTTATGGAACTTCTCTAAGATTAGTCCATTTAAAAAAATGCATTTTTTTTTTCGGAAACCACAGTAGTTTTTGGCAGAAACTCGAAAACGTTCCGAGGTATGTTTGCTATTTATGAAATGCCCGAATAAAATATGAGCATCGTGGTCTTCTGACAAAATGGGAGGGGCGGAGAATTTTTTTTTCAAAATGCACGAAACTTTGTTTCACCCTGTATCACGAGTCCTGATCAATTTAGAAGAAGCTGTACGGAACGGTACGAAAGACGATGAAAAAGGCATTCAGAATCTGGGCGGCAATTAAAAATTCGTTCAATATTTTACAAATTACGAGAAGTCAAACTTGATGCCAAATTTCACTATTAACGTTTCAATTGACACCCAGTTCATTTTGCGTCTAAAATGAAGTCATTATACAGGGTGAGTCATAACTACTATTGGGAGATAGAATAAGGGCGGATTATCTGGACCAAAATATGGCGATAGAACCAAATATGCCTTGATAAAATATTGCTGTGGAAGAAGATACAGGGCGTTGGAATTGATTTTTTTTTCGTTTTTTGCTAATAATTTCACTGTATATTCATCAATTGTTATTGTAATCGGCACAGGTGCATAATTTTATACAGGGAATAATATTTTATGCATCATTTCACATCGAGTTACGGGGGCGCCACGTGAATGATTCTTGATTATGAAATCGACTGGTAACTTTTTAGTGATTTAGATTGAATAATATGAAATAAACATCTTTTTCACGTAATATTACTACTCTTGTTTGAACATGATATATTCATCCGTCTTCGAGAAAAAGGCAATTGAACAATCCATAGAGTAGGAAGGGGATTTCAAATCTTATTTCATTTATGAAGAGTCAGATAATTGTTGCTAGTAAATGATATTGCTCGTCAGTGATTCAATTCTGGTGCGAGTTTATAGTTCATACTTTTTCCATTGAAATGCCTCGTCACAATCATTTTACAAATAGAGAAATGCGGGATATGATTTGTGTATACGCACAAGACCATTTTTGCGGTCGCTCTGCTGCCAGAAGGTATGCATTGTTTATTTCCAGGCAGAAGGCAACCAAATCACTTTCTCAAATCTATTTCATCGTTTGGGTGAAACCAGATCATTTCACAGTAAAAATCAAGGTGGCCGACCGAAACGAATCACACCTAATCAAGACGATGAAATTTTGGTTCGAATAGATGAATATGCTAGAGTAACTTCAAGTCATTTGTCAGCAGCAGCAGGAGTTGATCAGTCGTATTAGAATTCTAAAAAGAGAAAAGTTCCACCCTTATCACTACAAATTTGAATGAGGATTCTTTTTTTTTTGCAAAATATTATCAGTGATATTTTGGATAGTCTGTCACTAGCTGTAAGAAGGAAAATGTGGTTTATGCAGGATGGAGCTCCACCTCATTTTCCATTAGTTGTTAGAAATCATCTGAGTGACATATTTCCTCAACGATGGATTGGCAGAGGAAGTGATTTTGAATGGCCACCAAGAAGTCCTGACTATAACCCGCTTGATTTTTATGTTTGGGGACATATGAAGTCCTTAGTTTATGCCGATGAAATCAACTCAAGAGACGAACTCTGGAGAAGAATACAAAATATGGCTAACTTTATAAAGGGAGAATAATATTCGTTTTGGAGTCCGGAAGTCCTTTATTAAAAGATTCAGAAAAGGAATAGCAGTCGGAGGAGGCTATACGTTACAAGTTTTTTTATTGTTCATTACTCTGATCCGAGCTCTGATCTGTTCAATTGCGTTTTTCTCGAGAACGGATGAATATATCATGTTCAAACTGAAGTACCAATATTACGTGGAAATGATGTTTATGTCATATTTTACAATCAACATCGCAAAAAAGTGTCGTCAAAAAAGTTACCAATCGTTTTCATCATCAGGAATCATTCACGTGGCGCCCCCTGTAACTCAATGTAGAATCATGCACGGAGAAAAAAATCACTAACCCTAAGTGAATATTTAATAGTGGCAAGTAAAAACTTGTATACTATATGGGACAAGGAAACAAGTTAATAACCACAAGAATATTTGTGTTCCTGAAAATGTACACCTACCACTATTGACCTGTTTCATTGAATTTCAGAGTGATAACGGTTAGTGAACACATCACTTGTCATCAGTGACCTATTCAATTGTCATTAGTAACTCATTCACTTTTCATTAGTGACTTGTTCACTAGTCATTAGTGACTTGTTCACTAGTCATTAGTGACTTGTTCACTAGTCATTAGTGGCCTAATACCATGTCATTAGTGACTTATCTACTAGTCATCAGTGACTCATTTACTTGCCAATAGTGACTTATTCACTTGTCATTAGCTAGTATGAAAAAATACCTCCATTGTTCTCTGAAAAATGATAAAACCTTGGTAATAAGACCAAAACACATGCATTCAAAACATTTTATTATAAAGGTATGATGAATCCAGAAAATACAAAAAAGGTAAGGCTGACGACAAATATTGAGATACTAGATACCGCGTATATCAGCATCATGCACCGAGAAAAACGGTACTCTCACTCACTGCACTGCACTCTGATTCACTATCTTTTTCCTTCCAGCATTGAAGATGAATCAACTTTCATACTTTTTAAACGTCACTTCCTTCCACTTCGAGTATCATAGGGAGTGGAAAAAAATCCTGTACATATGTAGAAACAATTATGTACTGTTCTAGAAGAGTTTTGTATTTCATTATCTCCTTCAAGAGAACAGATCAAGAACTCAACACCCCACAGCTCAGAGCACGGCAACAGAGCACGGCACACAAACAGAGAATTCTCATACGAATATGATATAGTATAGTTGTTCGAAAGGGCACTTGCATGACTTGGAATTTCAATGTTACTAGCGGAAACGCAAGTATACTAACTTCACGAATGCTAAGATCGAAATGACGCCGTGGACTCGTGGACACTGGACAGTGATCGTGTTGGGCGTGGGTACTCGAATAATTCGAATGATGGCGGAGAGTGCGGACGCGTGTATAGATCTCTGCAGCTATTGTAAGAAAACTGCATAAAAAAAAAATTTAAAATGTACAGAATGTGATAAAGTCTACCACAAAAGTTGTGCTGCACGTGTAGTTTGCTGTGAAAAAGCATTAGGTGAAGAAGAAACCATAACAAATACTCCCGTATATGGAAATCTGAAGGTCTCTTGTGATAAGAACACCACGACCATCGATGCCAGCATAGAAATAAAGATGGAAACATTGAAAATGGAAAATGAATACCTCAAAAGGCTCCTAGAAGGTACAGATATTAGATATAAATTATTAGAAGACAATATCAAATTGCTACAAGAGAATAAATTACTCCTTGAAGAAAAAGTTGAACAGCTTAAAAAAGAGCTGAATATAAAAAACGATACAGACATGGAGATTGATACGATGAGAAATAAAAACACTCATGTCTACAACCAAAAGGAATCCCGAACAGAAAATATAAATGAATACTTCAACAGTGAACAAATACCTAGTGGGAAGAAAGAAATGAACCCAATCTCGGAAGGTCAACCTAATACACAGGGTGATTCAAGAGGCAGCACGACGGTACCGCAATTAACCAAAATACAGAGAGAATCTGAAATTATCAGGAAACAGATCTCTGCAAATACTCTAGAAATCCAAACCAAGCAAAAACTAGATGATATCATTGACCTAGGAAATACTGACATGGATGAAGATGAAGGTTTCACAAAAATAACCAGACGTAGAAGGAGAGTCATGGAAGGTAGTGGAAATGGAGATAATCATTTCTATGGAAGAGATAATGGCGAGAAGAAAATCTGGCTGTTCCTAACCAATATTCCAGACACAATTAATGAAGTAAACATAGAACAATTTATTAAAACTCGAACTGACTCCACCAGCATAATTGTGAAAAAGTTACAAACCCGAATGTCCCGGAAAGATAACCAATCTTTTATGATCGGAGTAGAACCTCACCTAAAAGAGAAAGTTTATGAAAACAGCTTTTGGCCAAAAAAGGTGAAATACAGTCGCTTCAATTTCAAGCTTGGTCAACATTTTCTCGACAATTCATCTCCAACCCACCAGTTAAATGAAGACCAGGAAGGACCA